ATGTATGTTAAAAAAAAAAAAAAAATTCTGTATGGGAGACTAACTTGAAATGTAAACTTCATTTAATTACAACAATAAAAAAAAATAATTAACTCCAGAAGATACAAAAAGTCCCCCTTAAACCATAAGGAAAAGATATAAAAGGCCAATCACCACTGGAGAGAATGTGCAAACAGCCAGTATCCAGATGAATCGGTGCTCCACCTCACAAGTAACCACAGGAATGAAACGAAAAAGAAACTCCTCTTCACAGCTAAGATACGTGTATAAGGTTAAAGAGACTAGTGACATCCAACGTCTGTTTGGGTATGGGGAAAGCAGGAAACTTGCTGGTGGGAGTGCACCCTGGTATGGCCTTTCCGTATCACCAATGGAACATCTGTTAGCTTTTTAACTATGTACACCCTGATGGCTCATCCTAGGAATCTGTGCTTTAGAAATACTTAAACATGTACAAGGACATTCACTGTAGCACTGATTAGTAGCAGTGAAAATGTATCCTCTCACAGAAGACTGGTTAGAGTATATCCCTACTGTGGATGACTATGTTGCTTAAGACTCAATTCCAACTGATGGCTTCCCCATGTGGTAGAGTAGAACTACCCCATAGGGTTTTCTGGCTGTAATCTTTAAGGAAGCAGATTGCCAGGACTATCTTCTGTGGTACCACCTGGTGGGTTCGAATCAACCTTTAGGTTAGCAGTCGAGTGCAAACCGCGTGCCCATAGTACCACAAACAAGAACACAGTCAGTATCTGTGTATGCCTAGAAATATCCCCAAGACACGGAGTTAGTGAAGTCTCTTGTATGTATTTTCAAAAAACTATGTGTATATGTATGAAAATGCTTAGGAAAAAGAGCAGAAGGATAAATGGCAAATTACTAGCAGTAATTAGCCCTCATGAAGGGAGAAGTGAAGGGTGGTGAAATATTTTCCTGAATGTACTTCTATACTGTTTTAGTATTTTTTAAGGATGTATGCAGGTATTGCCCTTTTATAAATTCCAGAAGAAAACAAGAGGCTATTAGAGTCAAATGAGGTGACTCCTCTGAACTAAGAAGTTTCCTAGTTCTTAGGGAGTCTCTCATGGGACAGGAGTTAAACAATCTTAAGAAGCTCCCTAAACAACTCAACAACAAAAAGAAAAACAAGTCAATCATAAAATGGGCAAAGGACATGAACAGACACTTCACGAAAAAGGACATTCAGGCGACCAACAAATACATGAAAAGATGCTCATGATCGTTAGCCATTAACCCAAAAAACCCGTTGCCATAGAGTAGATTCCAACTCATAGCAATCCTATAGGACGGAGTAGAACTGCTTCACAGGGTTTCCAAGGAGCGGCTGGTGGATTCAAACTGCCAATCTTTTGGTCAATAGCCTGAGTTCTTAACCACTGTACCACCAGGGCACCCATTAGCTATTAGAGAGATGCAAATCAAAAGTACAATGAGATACCATCTCACCCCTGCAAGCATGGCACTGATCAAAAAAACAGAAAACGGATGCCGTGAGGTTGTGGGGAGATTGGAACTCTTCATACATTGCTGGTGGGAACGTAAAATGGTACAACCTCTATGCAAAATGATACGGCACTTCCTTAAAACACTAGAAATACCATATGATCCAGCAACCTCACTCATTATATATCCTACAGAAAAAAGAGCTGTCACAAATCAACATATGCACACTCATGTTCACTGCAGATTATTCACAATAGCAAAAAGATGGAAACAACCTAAGTGCCCATCAAGAGATGAATAGATAAACTATGGTATATACACACAACAGAATACTAAGCAACGATAAAGAGTAACGATGAATCCACGAAACATCTCACAGCATGGCTGAATCTGGCAGACATTATGCTGACTGCAATCAGCCAATCACAAAAGGACAAATATTGTATAAGACCACTATTATCAAGTCAAGAAAAGGTTTCCACACAAAAGAAACAATATTTGATGTTTACCAGCAGGGAGGGGAGTGGAGGGCAAATCACTAACTAGATAGTAGGTATGTGTTAACTTTGGTGAAGGGAAAGGCAATATACAATACAGGGGAAGTCAGCACAACTTGACCAAGGCAAAGGAGGACACTGAGGGAAAAGGAAAAAAAAAAAGGCAACCACAGTACATACTATAGCATATACAAGCCTGTAACAACAGTACAGACAAACAATTTTACAAACAGATACATAGGTACATACGTATGCTGAATCGGGGTAGGAAGGAGCACAAGAGTATCTCCATGTACATATACAGGTCTGGCTGTGGATTATTTTTACATACGTATTTGTATGTGCAGCATGTATATTCACATATATTCCAGAACACATAAGGGGCACAGTCATAGAAGCTTCCTGGGCACAACCAAACACCTCTTGGGATTGAGTTGCTGGACCATGGTCTCGGGGGACATCCAGGTCGACTGGCACAACATAGTTGATAAAGAATGTCCTACAGCCTACTTTGGTGAGTTGTGTCTGCGGTGTTAAAAGCTCACGAGCAGCCGTTTACAGTTATTGGTCTTGTCCCGTCGGGAGTAAAGGAGAATGAAGAAAACCAAAGACACAAGGAAGCAATTAGTCCAAAGGACTAACACACCACACAAACCACAGCCTCCACTAGCCTGACACCAGAAGAACTAGATGGTACCCAGCTAAGACCACCAACCATTCTGACCAAGATCACGGAAGAAGGTCTAGGACAGAGCAGGAGAAAATGTAGAACAAAATTTAAATTCACAAGAAAGACCAGACTTACTGGTCTGACAGAGACTAGAGGAACCCCTGAGACTATGGCCCCTAGACGCCCATCTAACTCAGAACTGAAGCCAATCGTGAAGCTCACCTTTCAGCCAAAGATTAGACAGGTCTAAAAAATAAGTAACACCCGTGAGGGGCGTGCTACTTAGAACAATCAAGCACAGAAGACAAAATAAACAACACCTGCCCAAAGGCAACACTGCGAAGGGAGGAAAAGGGGATGAATGGAAACGGGAAAGCTGGGGTGGAAAGGGGGAGTGCTGACAGTGCAGGGATTGCAATCAATGTCACGAAACAATCTGTGTATAAATACTGAAAGGGAAACTAATTTGCTCTGTAAACTTTCACCTAAAGCTTAAGAAAACGTCAAAAAAAAGAAGCTTCCCAAACAAGAGGGGCTATTCTTGACCACTAGTGTTACTCACAGCCTGGGATGTGGACACAACTGTGGTGCTAACCGGGACCTGTCGCACAGTGGGGGCTCCCGTCCCGATGCTGATAGGGGTGCTTGCAGCCCCAGACGCCACTGCCACAGTCTTGGACACGGCCGCATTCATACTGGGCACGGACACCGCAGAAGCGTGCACAGTTCCAGACCCACTCGCCACTGAGGACCCCTGCTTGGCCTGGGCTGCGACTGTGATGGTCTGGCCTGCTTTGGGGGGCATCATGCCCAGGCCCTGCACGATGCGGATGGTGGCGGCCGCCTTTCCTTCTGAGGAGACCACTGTGCTCTTCCCCTTCTGGTCAGCCACGCTCACACCAAGGGCCGGCATCAAGCGAAAAGCTGAACCCGAGGCTTCTGCTGGCTTGAGGTCAGGAGTCACCTTGACCACGGTGGTGCCTGCTGGAGTGGACGCAGGGGCGCTGGCCGAGCTGGCCTTGGCAGGGCTCTCAGCTGCATGGACTGGGTTGGAGGTGACGTGTAAGGTAGCGGAGATGCCTTTGCCTGCTGTACTGCTTCCTGTCCCAAAGAGGTCCTGGGTCAGTTTGACTGTGGTAACCTGGGACTTGGCCAACGTAGCCATCATGTCCGGAGTGATTCGCAGGACTGTCTGGCCTTTGGCATCTGTGGTGATGGAAGAGGGTGGCAGACGCAGCACATCCTTGCCCTGGATACGGAAGTTAGTGGCCGCGAGAGGAATGTTGTTGCCTGTCTGGGGCTTGACACCAAGCTGCCCGGTGATTGCCACCTGGAGGGGGAAGGAAGAGCACAGATGAAGGCGTCACCGTGTTACGCTGGCTAGGTACTATAACTAGGTAAACCTCCACTGCATGGGCACGTAACCAACCCACATACCCATCACCCAGACCCAACAGTTATCATGCTGCCAATCTGGTTTTATCTTTCCTTCCCGTTTAGGGGCAAGCGGAGGAAGTGGGAAAGAGAAACTAGAATATTTTTAAGTAAATCCAAGATATGTCACTTCACTAATCAATACTTCTGTACTCATCTCCAACCTAAAACAGAACTTTTTAAAAAACAATCAAAATGTTATGGCCAATAGTGAACAAATTAACTACCCTGATACCACCTAATAATCGGTATATATTCACATTTCCCCTACTATCTCAAAAACACCTATTTACAGCGAGCGCAACCTCCATTTTGAGAGCCGTAGTATGGCAGTAAGAGCACGGGCTTTGGGGCCAGACTTCTGGGTTCATGTACCAACTCCACTACTTACTAACTCCCATCTAAGGCCAACTGCCCGCGCAACCCTTCCTGCCAGCTCAGGCACTTCCTCTCTGTTGCGTGATCAATTTTCCCCTCCCTACCAGATAACTGTTATCAGAATGCAAACATGTTATGACATTCCCATGCTAAAAAAACAACCAACTCCACGTCTCCCTCCACCTACTGTCCCAGTTCTCGGCTCCCTTCAGAAGTAAAACTCCTCTGAAAGTTACCTCTGCTGTCTCCACTTCCTCACCTTGTGCTCTCTTTTGAACCCATCCCCAAAAAGCCACCAGTCCACTGCAACCAGTCGTCAAGTTCACCAATTACCTATTTCCAGTGAATGGTCAATTCTCAGGCCTCACCTTACGCTTCCACTGCTCTCGATACAGCTGCTGACTCCCCCCTTCGTGAAAACACTTTCTCTGTCTCCAGTTGTCTGCACGTCAGTGTTCTCTTCTATCTCAGTAAATAATATCACTATCTACCCAGTTACACGAGCCAAAAAACAGCAAGTCATTCTCAACTCCCTTCTCTCAGACCCTTCTCTCATGATCAAGCCACCAGAAAAACAACACTGACTCAGCCTTCAAACTATATCCAGAATCCCGCCACTGCTCATCACCTCCCGTGGCTACTCACACTAAACTAAGCCAGAATCACCTCTTACCTGGATTTCTGCAACTGCCTCCTTCCTGGCTTCCCTGCTCCCATTCTTGGCCCCTGCACAGCAGCCAGATCAAGCTATGCTGGCTCACAGTCTCCCAATGGCTCCGCACCGCATTTAAGGAGTCCTTACCGGGCCCAATATAAGTCTCCACGCGATTTAAGAATGGGCAACCTCTCTGGACCTCATCTCCTGACACTCTCACGCGTGCTCATTAAGCTTCAGCCACAACGGCTTTCCTGTTGTTCCTCACACACACCAAGCATACTCCTGATTCACAGCGTTCTCCCTTGCCATCCCTACGCTGGGAATGCTCTACCCACAGGTAATCATGACATGGCGTAGTCTACTTCACAGAGATCTCTGCTCAAATGCCATCTTCTCAGAGAGGCCTTCTCTGACCATCCTAGCTAAATACCCCTTATTCTGCTTCCTGAATTTCAGAGCATTCATTACTACCTGACATTTAAGTATGTGTTTGTCTCCTAACCCTGTTAGAATATAAGCTCCGTGACAGCAGGTACTTAGTCTGATTAATATACCAATGCACCCCTGGCACACATCAGGCAGTCAATAAATACTTAATGAACGAATAAAAGATGGTACTTTGCCCTTCTGTGTCTCCGTGGGGATAATAAAAGCGTCTGCCCCCCGCAGGACTAATGGCCCATGCAAACCACAGCCTCTTCTAGCCTGAGACCAGAAGAACTAGATGGTGCCTGGCTACCACTACCATTCTGACCAGGGACACAACAGAAGATGCCAATTAGAATGGGAGAAACATGTAGAAAAATTCATAAAACAGAACAGACTTACTGGACTGATAGAGACTAGAGGAACCCCTGAGACTACTGCCCTAAGACACCCTTTTAACCTGGAACTGAAGCCACCCCTGGGGGTCACCTTTTAGCCAAATAATGGATTGGCATATAAAACAAACACCTGCGAGGAATGTGCTCCTTTAAACAATCAACTTACACAAGACCAGAGAGTCAATATTTACCCAAAAGCAAACACAAGAAGGCAAGGAGGGGCAGGGAAACTGGATGGATGAAAACGGGGCAGGTGGGGTGGAAACGGGGAGAGTGCTGACACACTGCAGGGACTGTAAGCAACGTCACGGAACAACGCGTCCATGAACTGCTGAATGGGAATCCAGTTTGAAAGTGTAAACTTTCACCTAATACACAATAAAATTTAAAAAAAGTGTCTACCCCATAGCGTTATAAGATTTAAATCATTTAATATCTATAAAGGCCTCAGCACAGTGCAGATACACAGTAAGTACTCCTGGCAGTCATAGTCGCTGTTTCGCCTAACACTTCGTCAAAGTTTAACAGTTATCTTTTCATATCCACACTAAGAAAGTACAGATATACTCTACGTTTACTTTACTCTCACAGAGTCTACTCTAAGACCAGAAGCTCAGCCAATAAACGTGAATTCTATGGAAAGAAACAGAAGAAATCTCTTAGGCATCTACAAAGCTTGCACTGTCCTTGCTGGGAAAACACACCAGAAATATCTATAAATTAAGGATCAAAGATCACCCATCTATTCTCCATGAGCACTGTTTTTTCAGGACACTCCCATCCAACTGTCCTCTGCTCTAGGACAAAGGAGTCAGACCCTCCCAGGAGGAAGTCCACCTACCTGCTTGATGATGTTCTGCCCTGGGACGTTCTGAATGACAGCTGCTGTGGAAGAACCTGGAGTCGAGCTTCCCGGAGAACTGGTGGCTGGCTTGCTCACAGGGCTGGCGGTGGCAGTGACGCCTGTCACTGCGAGCCCCGTCTGCCCAGCTCCAGGCCGCTGCACGGTGGCTGCGGTGGCCTGGGCTTTGACTGGGACCGTGGCCATCACCGTCTAGTTCAGAAGATGACGGCAGAATTCTCATCAGACACTGAAGTGTAGATCCACAGAGCCCCTACCACCCAGGAGGCTTTCCTCTGAAAGCACTTCTAATTCTAGCTGGGCATCTTCCAGGCAGTTCAACTAACCTAACAGTGCATAAGGTTCACCACTCAGCAAAGTGGGCACCGTACACTTCTTGCATTTGTGTGAACCTCTTCAATTTCAGAATGCTTTTATATGTGAGGGAGCCCAGGTAGCACAGTGGTTAAAGTGCTCAGGGGCTAACCAAAAGGTCAGCGGTTCGAACCCACCACCTGCTCCACAGGAGAAACATGTGGCAGCCTGCTTCGATAAAGATGTACAGCCTTGGAAACCCTAGGGGGGCAGTTCTACTCTGTCCTACAGGATCGCTATGAGTCCGACTGACTCGACAGCAGTGGGTTTGGTTTGGTTTGGGTTAACCCCTACCTACACAGTGGAGACAACCGATATTACAATACCCCTTTCACAGTGATGGAATCGAGGTGGAGAGGGTAAGGTCTTTTCTAAAATTAACGAGTTACTGGCATGACTAGGAAGTGCGATACAAGGGAAAAAGCCTGAGATTTAGAATGACGAAGTTTGGATTTAAGTTCTACCTCTAGCAGGGTCCTGACACGAACCTGGGTAAATCACTAAACTACTCTGAAGCTCTGACTCCCAGTACATAAAACACCTACCCAGATCTGACCAGCAGATGAGTGGCTGTGATCAGCATCAGCATCAATAACCACCACCTCAGAACCCACCCACTGGAATCACGAGACCATCTCTGGGTCCATCTCGCTGTTTCCCGATGGCCTTCAGCTCCCGTTACCTGGGGCACGACCTTGGTCTGCACAGCAGTGGCTGGAACCCGGATCTGAGGTCCTGCTGGCATCTGCGGCAGCGTCTGTGTGGACCCTGCAGACTGCTGGGTAACAGCAGGAAGGCCGGACGGGGCTACCACGCGCACCTGGGGCAGTCCCGCAGAGCCGGACTGGCTCACCACCCGGGCAGTGGCCTGAGAAGTTGGTGGAGTCTGGCTGGAGGGTGGGGAAAGCATTGTTCCTAGCTGGGGCATTGTCGGTGATGACACCAGGAGAACACTGTGAGGAAAATCAGGGAAAAACGAGCTCAGGACATGCCCAGAGAGAGACTTCAGAGGGAGAAGGCCGGGGAGGAGACAGCTCACCTGGAGCTAGACTTGGCTGGCTCTGAGGCGGTACTAGGGGCACTTTTGTTCACCGCTGAGACAGGTGGAGGGGAGATAGGGGTAGCAGGCAAGGCTGGAGTGGTGGGGGTCACAGGTGTGACAGGGGTCGGGGGCATGCTGGAATCACTGAGGCTCAGCTGGCTCTGCTCTGAAGGACCACTGCCGAGGACCTTGACTGAAGTCTCCTTGCTAGTGGACTTCTGCAAACGAAGGTAAAGAAAATTCACAAGCAGGTATAATTAAGGTTCTGCTGAAGCCCCTTCGATTTCTGATGCACTAAGGGAGCGAGAGGCCAATATCTACTTCGAGCTATTGCCACTGCAGAGACGGCTGGGGCAGACGCTGTGACGAGGTCACTTACCACCTTGGAGGGGGGCTTGGGTTTTTGCTGAAGGGCTTTCCTGGCTTTAGCTGCAGCTGCCTGTGCCTGGTGAATCCGCTCTGTAAACGAGAGCAGTAAGCTTCAGCAACAGCACTCGGAAAGCCATGGCTTCATTAAACCAAGGCCCCGCTGGGCTTCACTAGCGGGCTGACTGCTGCCCCTGAGAGCTGCTCCTGCCTCAATGCCAACAAAGAGAACAGGAGAACTGGGGCAGAAAGTCAGGGCACCCCTAGTCTAGGCTGACACACTGCCTCAGAGGCCTCACACACCAAACTCTTCCTCGCTGCGGTCACGATGCAGGTAGATCCACAGCTTTCGCCCAATGTCATACTTCACACACGGGTCTTTCTCATAATGAAGCCGGTCCAGGGCACCACTCACCACCGTATTCACCTGAGGACCAGGAGGAAGATAAATAAGGCACAAGGCAGACCCTTAGTTTACACAAGTTGTTTGTTTTTTCTAATGTATAATTTCGTCTCTCGTTACTGTTGAGAATACACCCAGCAAAACATACACACGAGTTATTCGGACACTGGACAGGAGCCACAGCTGGGAAACAGATTATCTCAGCCAGGCTGTGGTACTCCCAGTGGTTCACTGAATCCTTTGGCAAAACAAGAACTACTAGGAGACTCCCAAGAGATTGGTCTGTTTTCAACATTAAGGACACTGTGAACTAAGGTAACTGACTCGTCATCTCTTTACTATATAAGTTGAAGGAAAGCTTAGCACCAAATTCATGGTTCATACACATTAAGTATTTTAGGTCATCACTATACACATTTTCCAAGACATGCTCTTTTTTCCTTCCTCATTCAGTCCATTTAAAACCTTATTCTACGTTACATTTGCTCCTAAGTCTTCTTAAATTCATCTGGAACAAAGCAGAAATCAACGACCTCTCCTCCATCCTACCTGAGTGCTGGTGACATCTGGCGCGAGAAACTGGGAGTCCTTGAGCAATTCGCAGATCTCTGCCCGTGTGCCTTCTCCATTAGGCAGCCGAGCAGCAGCATCTCGAACTGACAAAACAAAAGACAGAACATCCAAGAGTCAGGCAGGGCTTCCAGTGAGGAACAACATCCCTTTACTTCTGGTGGGGTGAGGTTCCCTGCAGTCCCGCTGTCTCTCTGCCTTCCCAAGACTCAGCACTAGGTGGACACTGTCCCCTGGTGGCTGACAGCTCCGCCACTGGAGTTTCCTGTATATGCCACACTTTCAGGGAAGGGGGATTCCATGAACACCTCAGAATTAAGTGGGTCCATGAACTTGGGTGAGGAAAAAATAGTATTTAACTGAAACTTAGCATTTCTTTTAATTATGAACAAAGGTAACAAACCACAATATATTGGTAGTGCCTGTGATGCTGTAAAAGAAACCCCGTTTTCATACCACATTACACTACTGCAGACAACTCAAAACATCATTTATAGTCATCATTATTGGGAACTGTAAGAGTTACAAGACCTACTGCTAGAGCCTGTCATTTAATATGATAAAAAAGCACATACATGTCTGCATCATAAACTTGTGTTAATATTCTGGTAACAATCCCAACATGACTAGGTTCTTTTGCAACTATGCATTTTATTTTATGCATTTCGAAAGCATAATTCTAAGGAGGGGTCCAGAGGTTTCACCAGATGTCAAAGGAATTCATGGCACAAAAAAAGCCAAGAAACCCCACCTTTAAAGGAGTTGGAGCCTGGAGGGAGCAAATTCCTACAGTTAAGCTAGAACTCCTCAGCTGGCCTGTGAACAATTCCTGAATGAAAATGAATGTGAGCCCAGACTTCAGGGAAGAAAACACCGACTCCTGGAATAAATCTTGGGGACTAGACCTCCCCCTTCACCTCCCAAGGTCCAAAGCTTCCAAAAGCTATACCTGACCCTCAAAAGCTTCCCTATATGGAAAACAAAAACAAAGCACTTCGGGCAAGAAAAGAAATCCCTGGCAACAAATACAGGACACATACCAAGAGACAGGATGGTGACGTAGGCGGGCCGGTCCGAGCGCAGCAGAGAGTGCTCTCGGGCTTTGTTGAGGGAGGTCTCCTTGTCGAACACACCCTTCACCGGCCCCACCACAGACTCAAAGCCATGCATGCGAAAGGTAAATGCCTTATGGGGCTGGCTGTATCTGTAGCGCTCCTACCAACAGAAAAGAGAAGGCTCTTCAGTCAGAATTAGTGAGTGGGGTTCCCACCAGCTCCCCTACAATAAGGGGATCCGGCCCAGGGGAAGGAAAGAAATGTTAGGAATACCGAGCCCACCTTAGTGGGAAAGGGTGATCCTCAGAGTCCCAGTCACTGAGCAAAGGGGCAAGAAGGTAAATACAATCTAATTCCGCTATCCTGGGAGAAAAGACCATCAAAGCCTTTCTCCTTCCCTTTCCTCACGTCATTTCTGCCCCCCATATACAATTCCCAACCAACAGAATCTCTAAGGGATTTCCTTCAAGAATCCGGACCCAAGGAGAATCAGGCCAAGAGCTTCTCTCTCTGTGTCCTCATTACACTGGGTTCTAGGTATTTCTTACCTGCTCCTGAAAAACCCGTTTCTCCTCTCCCGTGCTGGGCCGCACCACATAGTCAGTTCTTCTGGAACATAAAGGAGTTTGTATCAACTCTGAGGGATAGCAGGTGATTTCAACCCTTTTCCAGCACCCAGAACCATTACCCATAACGTTTCCATTCCCTTTGCAACATGAAAAAATGTCCCCTCATCAGTACTCCACCTCTACCAAATAACTCCAGCTGGTGTTCCTCAAGTTCCGTGACTCTTAGAAATCCAGAAAAGTACTGAGTAGGTGGGAAAGAGGTTGACACTTTTAACTACTGTTTCCAACATTGCTATTAAACAAGCTCAATCTAATGGCGGCAAAAAAGTCATCCCTGGAGGAACGAAGGATTTCAAGTTTGTAGATGACACAGGTGGTTTTGCTACCTTCTAGGGGAAGTACCCACAACTCTACTCTGTCAGACAGTGGTTCTTCCACATTCAGGGACAGAGGCTGGATTTTTATGCTGGTGTTTGGAAATCTAAAGAACCACTGTTGTTAGGTGTCATCGAGTCGGTTCCGCTTCCTAGTGACCCCATATACAACAGAAAAGGGCCACACCCGACTGAAAACAGTACCATGAAATGGTGTGACATAAAGAGCGCAGGATTACAGGTCAAGAGATCTGAATACTAGTCGGGGTCCTATCACTAACCTCCAACAAGTCACTTAGCCTCTTCATGCCTCAATTTTCTTATGGATAAAATGAAGAAGTTGGGTTAGCTGAATCATTCTCAGATAGGAACTGAGGAGGGGTATACATGAAAGAAAGAATGCCCACCTACAAGGTAGACCACATCCTTCTCAGAGACTCTACAATGCGGTCCCTCCCTGAGTCAAGAACCTTTCCCCTGCCACCATTACCGAACGTATTGACCAAAGAGTCTATAGAAGAGGTCTGATCGAAAAGAAAAGGGGAAAAATGCAGAAAAGAATTTCAAATCCTCATGGAATCCATAATTTCTGGAGCCACAGAGGCTGGATGAACCCCTTAAACTACTGCCCTGAGATAATCTTTAAACCTTAAACCAAAAATACCCTCTGAAGTGTTTTACAACCAAACAATAGTTTAACTTAACTAGTAAGCTAAACTAGCATGCTCTTTTAATAACTATCAATATGGGATCAAACTGACGACAGCAACTTGAAAGATACGATAGGAAACTTAGAGGGTAGTGAGTTTATGTTAACGGAGGAGGAACAGTTTGGAAAAGGAGGGTAAGAATGGCTGTACCACTTGAAGAATGTAACCAATGTCACTGAATTGTACATGCAGAAAATGCTGAATTGGTGTATGTTCTGCTGTGTATGATCTCAACAACAATAACAAATAAAATAAATAAAGACTGAGGAGTTGGGAAAAAAAAAGAGAATTCTTTCCACAGGAAGCCACTCTTACTACCGGGAGTGTGTTGTCCTCCTTCACAGTGTTGAAACAGGTAAGAATCAGTGGAGTCCTTGGATCTCAACAGTCCACTATAGCTCTCAAATACTAAGAAACGTCAGCAAGACCATGGCAGTACCTGAAACTCTGGTTTCATGAGACATCATCCACTAATAGCGTATTATACTTACACCCGAGGGACAGGGGTTGTGGCGTCTGAGCTGTCTTCATTTTCTTGCTGGAGAAAAGGAAAAGCATTAACAGGTAAATGGACCAAATAATTTTAGTCAACTTGAGGGTTCTAGAAATCCAGTAAGAAAGGTCTGCTATTTCTAGACTGAGTCCAGTACAACTAGATGGTGCCCGGCTACCACTACTGACTGCTCTGACACAGATCACAATAGAGGGTCCCAGACAGAGCTGGAGAAAAATGTAGGACAAAATTCTAACTCACAAAAAAAGACTAGACTTACTGGCCTGACAGAGACTGGACAAACCCTGAGAATATGGCCCCTGGATACTCTTTTAGCTCAGTACGGAAGTCACTCCTGAGGTTCACCCTTCAGCCAAAGGTTAGACAGGCCCATAAAACAAAACGAGACTAAAAGGGCCCACCAGTCCAGGGAGCAAGGACGAGAAGGCAGGAGGGGACAGGAAAGCTGGTAATAAGGAACCCAAGGGCAAGAGGGGACAGTGTTGACATGTCATTGGGATTGTTAACCGATGTTATAAAACAATATGTGTACCGTTTAACGAGAAGGTACTTTGTTCTGTAAACCTTTATCTAAAGTACAGTTTAAAAAAAAAAAAAGGTCTGATATTTCTTAAAGATTGTACCTTACAGAAAGTCTGGTCTTTGGTCTCTAGCCACAGCTGGAAGAGAGCAGCTAATTCCTTTTCATTATCTTGGGATTGGCCTATTAGAAGAACAAAAATACAAAATAATAAGAACTAAAGCGCTATTTCAAAATCCCAGCTTTCACCTTACTTGTCACATCTATGCCAGACATACCATAACCTATAGCAATAATGGTCCTTTGCACGTACTCTCTCTCTGCCTGTGATACCAACCCATACTCTGCCTGCCTCCTTGTACCCCAGAGATATAGTTCCAGACCATTACTCCCCAGCTCTTCTAGAAAATCAAAATAAAACAAAACCGTGTTCCTCTGAGGCTCTTACTCTCCACCTCCCCAACCGTCGACCGCTCACCACACTGGTTCACCTAATCACACCTCCTCCCAGTGCACCTGACTCACCTTTCTCAACATTCATATGGATAGTCCAGCCAATATCCGAACCTCTCAGTTCTGTGACCGCAATGATCTCCTCTATCTACTCCAGCCGCTCACTCCCACAATCACAAATGGACTCTGTCATTACCCACAACAGCTCTATCTTCAAAATGCCTAATCCAGTGTTTCTCAATCCTGGCTAAACATAAGAATCACCCAGGGAATTTCTAAAAGCACCAATGCTGAGGTCCCACTTCAATCAGTTCGTCAAAATAAGGCCCAGGCAGCAGTATTTTAAAAAGTTCCCCAACAGACTGTAGCGCACAGCCAGGGCTAAGATCCTCTACATGACCAAGCTTTCTGACCACAATCACCCAGACCTCCTGGCTTGCTTGCCCAACTACCCCCATCAAAGTACCCACTCCCACGAGCCCCCATCCAGCTCACCTGCTCCCTATTCAGCTCAATTCTATGTCCATCATTTCAACAAAACTCTTACCAATACAGTAATATCGCTGCCCTCCTATCTTTGCATCATTCCCATCTAGCAAAGCTCCAATTCTAGACTACTCACATTCTCCTTGCTGGAACTCAAGCAACCGAAGGCTGCCAGAGAAAACACACAAAAGGGCAAAGGGGAACGCTATAAGTTAATGATCAGCAGCCTCCACAAGACCCTCAGCACCACCTAGCAATCCTACTGTCACATCTGGTCAAGCTGTCTTCCATGCTCCATAATGGCTATTTCCTCACTCTTCTCAAAACTCCCATTCCTCCACCTTACCTTATATCACCACCTACTGAGGGAGGCAGCCTCAGAAACCCAACCCTTCTAAGAGACACCTGCTCTGGTTTACCCTCCTACATCGATCAGAATAGGCCGCACATTCTTCTGAAATTGTCCTTGACAGGATAACCACAGAATGGGCATAGATGACCTCAACCCACCTCCAAGTGGAAACTTAACATGCTAATGAAGGAAACTCAACCTCTTCCTCCGTTCCGGAGAATCGAACCCTTGTCTAAAGAAAATGCCTTGTCATCCCCAAGCTCTGAGCACCTGCAAGAAGGTCAATTCTGAATATTCATGGTGAGTTCACATTGCCTTGTCTGCTCTCTGTAAAATTCCACCTCCCCAAGCTGCCTTCGAGCAGTCTTGGAGGCAAAAGTCCCAATAGCTCCTTACCTTGTGCTACAAAATAAAGGTGCCTTTCTTCCCCCACCTTGGCCTCTTGTTTATTGGCTGTAACAAGTCACACCGAGCAGAACCTGGGGTTTCCATCTGGAACACTACTTTAACAGAAAATCTACCAGACCAAAATTCCTTCACCTTTCCCACAATAAAACCTAGAAACCTACTGCTGTATTCATTATTTCCTCCGTTCCTCTTGCTAATGCTAAGAAATGGGCTGCCACTTCCATCCAAGGCCAATCCTTTTCCTCCTGCTCAGGAAACTTATATGATTAATTTTCTCTTCACTCCAGTACTCTCAACCTCCTCCTCTCCACTGCACTCTTTCTATCAACCCTTAAACTCACTCAAGGTTTCTCCCATTTTAAAAATTCCTCTCTTGGTATCAAGTCCCCTTACTATCCTCTCCTGCCCTTCACAGCTAAACTTTCAGAAAGAGTTGTTTAAATTCACTGTCTCTTTAACCATGGGGGGTTAAAAGGGGGGGCGCTGATTTTAGCATTTGCAGATCTTCATGGTATACATCAAGGGTCAGCAAAATGCCTCCTTTTTTGGTAAATAAGGTTTTATGGGAACACAGCCACGCCCATTCATTTATATATCGTTTATGGCTACTTTGTGTTATACAAAGGCAGAGCTGAGTAACTGCAACAGATACCAGGTAGCCCACAAGTTTAAAATATTTATTATCTGGTCCTTTAAAAAAAGTGCGCTAACCTCTGGTGTAAACACTGCCACCACAGCTGCTCTCAAGCCACCAACCCGACAGAGCCGGGAAAGATGCGCACAATGGGTTACCATGAGCTTGTGTCAGCACATCGCTGTCTCACCCCTTGTATTCCACTGAGCAATCACTCTTACTAAGAAATTGTTTCTTCCACGTTCACAAATTTTTAGTCTTTATCTTACTGAACCTTTTATAATAATTGAAGCTAAGGACCACCCCTATTTCTTGAGACCGTCCTTCACTTCTAAGATTCAACAATCTCAGGGTTTTCCTCCTGTCTGTGGAGTCTTCCTCTCAATATGCTTTCCCATTCAGCTTCCTCTATCTGATCTTTAAATGTAGGAGTTTCTCAAAACTTAGCCGTACGTCCTCTTTTTTTCCCTCACTTTATACTTTTTCTCTAGATAACAGCTTCATTTTTATCTCTGGCCTCAAGCAGTATATCTGCGTCAACAACTACCTTCATTCCTGATTTGAATTCTAAACCCATACATCCTACCACCTATTCTACTTAAACACCTCAAAGGCACCTCAAACTCAGCACGTCCAAAACTAAACTCATGCCCCTCCCCTTACCCAAGTCTAACTGCCTATCTCAATGAACAGCACCTTCATCCATCAGCTACACATCTAGCAGAAGTCACACTTGACACCCACTAGTCCTTTATTCTCCATATCCAATTCATAGCCAAGTCCTGTAACTTTTCCATCTAAAATTTTCTACCACGGTGCAAATTATCATTATCTTACAGGCTTACAATCTTTTTCAATCAAAAAATGGGCAAAGGATTTGAACAGACATTTCACCAAAGACAATATTCAAATGGCCGAGAAGCGTAACAAAAAAAAAAGCATATGAAAAGATACTCAACGTCATTAGCTGTGTATTGTGGAGTAAAATAATCATATTACAGCTATGTGCCTCATAACGTCCGTTCTGGCAATGTCCGACCACATATATGTCCATGGTCCCATAAGGTTATAACAAGAGTTCAGAAATCCTGATGGGAGAATGGGACGTAGCGGATTCATTAACCATTAGCGATACAAATCAAAACCACAATGCAGTACCACTTTACTCCCACTAGGGATGGCTAAGATGAAAAACAAAAAATAACCAATGTTGGCAAGGATGTGGAGAAACTGGAACCCTATTTGTTGCTGATGGGAATGCAAAATGGTACAGCCACTGTGGAAAACAGTTTGGCGGTTCCTCAAAAAGTAAAACATAAAACTACCATCTTTGTTGTTCTTGTTAGCTGCCATCTAGTAGAGTTTGACTCACGGCAACCCCATGTGTGCAGAGTAGAACTGCTCCATAGTTTTCACGGCTGTGACCTTTCAAAAGCAGATCACCAGGCCTGTCTTCTGAGGCACGTCTGCGTGGGGGTTCCAGCCACCAACCTTTCAGCCAGGAGTCGAGCACTTAAGCACTTGTGCCGCATGACCTAGCAATTCCACTCCTAGGAACATACCCAAGTGACTTGAAAGCAGCAACACAGACACATGTACACCAATGTTCATTGCAGCATTATTCACAATAGCCAAAAGATGAAAAAACCTAAATGTCCGTCAACAGATGAATGGATAAACAAAACGTGATAGATGCATACAACAGATACTACTCAATCATAAAGAGAAATGAACTTCTGATATATGCAACAACATGGATGAACCTGAAAACATGTTGAGTGAATTAAGTCAATCACAAAAGGACAGGTATTGTATGATCTTGCTTATATGAAATAACAACAGGCAAATGTACAGAGACCAAGGTTAACTCGTGGTCATGGGGTGGGCCGGAGGTGGGGAGGGGAAGTCATTGTTCTGGAAGCAGTGGGTTTCTGTTTATGATGATGAGAAATTTGGCAACAATTACGGGTGATGGCTGCACAATACAACTAATTTTAATTGTATGCCTGAAAAATGTTGAATTGGCAAATGTTGTGCTATATTTTTACAATTTAAAAAAATCCTTTCCAGCAACACTGACAGCACTCTCACCTCCACCTCTTCACATACCGTTTCCTCCACGCAGAATACTCTTTCCCCATCATCTGCATAGCTAGTTCCTATTCATCATTAACATCTCTGCCCAAACGTTACGTCCTCAGGGACGTCCTCCCTGACTCTCCAGACTACATCGATTCCTCATTACCAACTCCCATCCTTCCTGGCACTTTTTTTTACAGATTATATCAATTTGTTGTTTCATGTGAACGAATACTGGTTTCCCAAACAGATCTGAAGCCCCATGAGGGGAGAATACTATCTGGCTTGCAAACCATTACATCTTCCAGCACCTAACACAGTGCCTGGCACCTAGCAGCAGCTCGATAAAAGCTGTAAGCAATGAACGCGTCTACTGCTTTTATAACCTTCTCACCATCTCTCTTTACAGATCACTCATGGGACAGCAAAGGGGGGGCCTGTGAATTTCAACAGAAAATCAACAGTCCATTTCCCTGCTTACTTACTACCATCACTAGTTAGCATTCACCAACTTACTTTAGGAATGTGTTATTACAACTTACACATTAAGCAGGAATTTATAAATTTAAGGCAAAAATAAAGACCCTGCTCTTTAGAAATAGCTTATTTAGGGTTGTAAAACATCTTGTTGCATAGCATTTCAAAAGCATAGCCCATCTATAGAAATGTAAAATAAGCATATTACAGACATGTGCCTCCTAACATCCATGGTCCCATAAGGTTATAACAGAGTTCAAAAATCTGATCAGAAAACAGGATGCAACAGACACATTTTACTAGTTACTGTAGATCCTGTCTCTCACTAGCTCTCCAGTCCCATGTCAGCCCCCGCCCTAGGGCAGCAGGGGGAGGGGGTCCTGAAGGCCATCTACCAGCTGCCTGTCCCGCCATCACCCTGCTCGCCTCAGGCAAGGACCACGGAGGTGCCGCTAGAGCCGCTGAGGGGGATGCCACGCGAGGCCACTGCCCCAGTTGGCCAGAGCATCCTGAGCATCTGCCTGGCAGAGACTATGGCACCTCCCGCGATGGCAGCCACCAAGCAGTACGCAGAGGAAGGAAGGAAGGGAAGGGAGCTGGTGGCACGCCCAAAGGCAGCTGGCTGGAAGTCAAGTGCGCGCCGAAACGGGCCAGGCACAGCTCTCGGAGACCGACTGGCGACCACACAGGACCCACGGCAGTGAAGCCAAAGTTTTTGCATAGTCCCTCGGTGGGAGCACAGGTCCTGGGCCTGCCCAGTGACCATCCTGCGAGCCTCTGTCCTGCATATAATATGGCATTCGCACAATGTCCGAATCATTATAACACCCTATTCCACAGAACATATTGTGGACGTTAAGCGACGTATATCCGTATTATAAATCAACCCCACACCGCTGTTGTTGCTGTTAGGTATGTCGAGTTGACTTTCGACTCATAGCAACCCCAAGTGACAACGTAGAACCACCCCACAGAGTCTTCTTGGTTGTAACCTTTACAGGAGCAGATCGTCAGGTCTTTCTCCTATGGAGCAGACAGGTGGGTCCGAGCCAACCTTTTAGTTAGCAACTGTTGTGTTACCAGGGATCCTATACCCACAAGCGTTAAACCAAGCCATTAGTAGACTACATCACAATAGAAGGGATATTCCACCTCAGCTTCGGTGAACCAAAGCCCAATGGGAGGTGAAACCCATACCCTGAGAGTATAAAAGCATCCTGAAGGATTCTTTCACTGCACAAAGTAAGGTTTAGTATTGCCTGTTTTTCCAATCTCTCAGACTGTATTCACTGGAAGGCGAAAGAACCACAGCAGGGGAAAGTGAGAAAATGAAAACCAAAGCAAAACAATTACAGGTGGGTAATGTGAATTACTTACCAAGCAACTTCCACTGCTGGGTTTTCTCTCTGAATTCCACAAACGGAGAGAAACTGGAAGGAACAGCTGCAAAGACACGGACCACACAAACAAGTCACGCGGCAGAGGGAGCACTCCCCTCTCACCAACCCTGACAAGAGCACATCCAGAACTACACTCGGAAGAGCTGGCATCCCTGAGCTCCAAGACAGCGCTGAATGTTTCACAGCTATCAGGAGAGCAGAGGCCTCCAAGCACAAAGGCATGACAGATTAAACCAGAAAAGCTGCAGTTTACTAAGAATTAGACAAAGGGAAAAAGAAACACTGACCCTACCAAAAAAAGTAGCTTACCTCGGCTTTCTCCAGCAAGATACTGCAGAGCTGGAAGCACTAGCTCTGCCCAGTTGGGGGCTGCAGAGAACCAGCTATTGAGGGAGCTGGCTGGAGATGACTGCCAATCCAGAACTCGCTCCTCCAGCTGAGGAAGAGTAAAGGCACACAGTCAGATTTCTGCTCGACAGCAGCCACTGCACAAGTCTGCCAGGCAAGCAGGGGTATGCTTTGCCCAGAGTTTGCCCCATCACAAAGCAAGCTGGCTGCAGAGCTTTGGAACAAATCCAGAGTTCTGCTTCTCAAGCTGTAGACTCCTGAAGATTTCTAGGATTTGAAAACCTCAATGGACATTTGACTTTTCTGAAACTCTTACCATAGGAAGGCTAGCCTGACCCTCCAGCAGCAAGATTTCTAACAGGAGAGAGAAGAAGCTGGAAGATATTTCATTGATTCCAAGGCAAGGTTTGAGGTCTTCAAGAGGCCTAACAATGGCAGAAAAATATAAGAACAATCAGAAAGACCAAGAACACACCCCTCTATTGGTTCAGGCCCTCCAAGCCTCCTAGAGCACACTCGCCATTCTCCCTAGCAAGATCCCGGGGACTTGGGGGTTACGTGCTCCACACAACGCCATAAAATTCAAGTCCACTCAAAGCAAGGACCAGGGCAGAGGGTACTGTACGCCCCTCGGTTGAACTCGTCACCCCTGAGCTGCAATCTCAGCAGCTCACTTACTCTTCCTTGATAGCAGGTATCGCCAGTGGAGATGGGGCCTGCGAGAGAGGGGCAATCCCCTCAGTGCTGCTCAGGGGCTCGGCCAGCTCCTCTGCCTCCAATTTAACCATTTTCAGTCTCTTCTTCTTCTTCTCCTCTTTCTCCTTAACCTTTTTCTTAAGGACAGCCAAGTCATATAGGGCTGGAAAGAAAAAGTAATGCAAGAATTGAAATTTCTATATCAAGAAGTGAGGAATCGTCTCTGAATATTATTTTCCCAACACCTGCCAGTAAAACAAAGAAAAATCTCAGTAATAAGATATTTAGATTTTAATTAACAAACCCAATGAATAATCAATAGCTTAATGTTAATACTTATTAAAGAATCAATGATCTGTTGTGCTGATTTTTGATTCACTTCCCATCTTATAAATCCTTAAGAGACAATAACAAAACAAAGGTTATCGGCATGAAGGTTGGATTTGTTTTTGCAGTGTACAGACAGGCTCATGAAATTTAACACCAAAGTCAACTTGAAGGCCACGCACGGGACCATGGTCACGTACCTGCTAGAGAACCCTTCCGGCCAGCATTTACTCGAGTCATGATATCATTGAGAGTCAGGTCTGCTGTCAAGAGGTCCGGATGATCCTAGATGTGAAATTCAGAGCTGTAGTTACAGGGGCCCAAAAGGGAGCTAACACTGACGGAAACACTGCCGTTTACCTAACAAAACCGGTCAGGGATCAGGTGTATTCGAGCAATCACGCTGAATTCAAAATACACAGAGATGAAAACTACCGCTCTTAACAATGGTGCACAGGAGAACTGAGTTCCAAGCTTTCTACTCCATGACACGTGACGGTTTACAAAGCTCTGTCACGTTGCTTATCTCATGTGCTCTCATCTTGTCAAATATTATTATATTTTACATTTATTGTACAAAGAAAACAGGGCTCAGAGAAGTTAAGGGGTTTTCCCCGTGTCACACAGTAAGTGGAAAAGTCAGAGGTAACACAGTTCCAACTTCTAAGGTGGGACTCTCCCCACATCAGTGCTCTGTCTTCGATGGACTGCCTCTTCTCCACCTGAGAAGACACCATCTTTTCTCCACTACACCCTCTGGCGTGGCTTTGGTAGCTTGACTTGGTAAATTAGAATAATGGAAGCAGTAAAAAAGGAGAAAGTGCACAGGACTGACTCTTGGCTCTGCTACTTACTAGCCATAGGACCTCAGACTAGCTCCTTAATCTCTCTGAGCACCGGCAAAATGGAGGTAATGATTCGCATACCTCCCAGCGTTGCTGTAAAGATTCAATCAGATAATCAGAGCCCTTGTCAAGTCTTCTCACATCTTTGATGTTAACTAGCCTTTCTGGTTGCTCCCATTGTGGTAGTGACTATCTGTATGTCTTCTAGGATATCCAGTCCAGAGATTAAAAAAAAAAAAAACCAACCCACTGCTGTCGAGTCGATTCCAACTCATAGCGACCCTACAGACCAAAAACAACTAGTGACCACCCCTGTCCCATCTTACTGGTTGATGTTTTCGCTTCTCATGGTGCTTCTTTAACATTATCTTCAGGTCACTGTCCCCCAGTTCTATTTTATCTGAGAGAAAATGAACCAAATCACATGGACTACATCATTTACCACCACGATGCTCAATTTTTAAATTTTTCATCACTTGTGATATTCAAAAGTAAGATTTCTCTGTGCTCCTTTCTGATTCCGGTGTGACACAAGTACCAAAAATCTTGAAATGGTTACAGAAATAACACTCTACCTTTTCTATACAACGATAAATTACAATCACTAGTTACTTAGCTGGTCCTATAACACATTAAAGTTCTTAACATTCTTTTTTGATTCCTATACCAAATAAAAATTCTTCTCTAATTTTACAAACATTCTAAGGAATTGCTACGGTTCCGGATACCCTTCTTGTTCTAATACTAAATTATTCCTTAGTATTGATTGCTATTTTGTTTTAAGATACTGCGTTCTGCTTTTTTAAGTGCAAAATACCAGCTGATCAGCTCCTAAAGAAATTTTTTTTAAAAAAGGAAGGAAGGTCCAGACTCAGGGGCCACCCAGTTTAGTGTACTTCATATCCATCAGGGCATCATAAGGCTTGTGCACACTTACACATCAATTCCAGAGCAATCTAGTTTTCTTAATAACCCACTACGTGTTGGAAATTCACTTGCTTATCTTAGTATACCAAAGCTACTCTCATCAATTTTAAGATGCATGTTTTTTCCGGTGTTTCAACATCTTTGAAATCTAGATAAATCTTAAAATTGATCATAAGAATCGTTATAATTGTGCCATGATTTAATTGTTGACGTTCTGAACCACTTCTTTAAGTCGTGAAATATCCTGAGTTCACTGCCCACATTTTATATCCATTCCCAGCATTACTTACACTCCAGGGAAGCAGCCTACGTGTAAAAAAGTGGAGTAGTAAAAACCTTCGTCTACATCTCCTAGTTCTAAGCAACACTGCTCTGTTTTCCGGGCAAGAAAGAATCTAGTGCCCGCCACCCTCTAAGGAGTTCTCTGATCTCCATCCCGATCTCCGGGGGTGTCAACATCATCAACTCAGTCCTCACCTGCAGTTTTCATATCCATGGTTGAAAGTGTGGGCACCACCCTGAGGGGCACCGCAGGACTAGGAGAACGCGCTGGAGAGCTCGGAAGCCAAGAGCTGAGATCTTCAAAAGAAAATTTTTCTTGTAAATCCAACGTGGCTGTGGACTCCAATAGGGGAGATTGGGTAAGTGGCCATTTGGGTTCAACAAGGCTAAGCCAACCACTTGGAGGCCAGGGTTCCACATTCCTTTGTGACCCTTCCCCAGATGGACTGGAGCACATTAGGTCATTTAAACAGCTCTTCCAGGAAGAGAGGCGTCAACAGAGTGATGGGTCGCATTGCAGCAGGCCAAGTCACTACTACTCTCCTGTAAGGGGAAAAGCAGTTCTCTCAAGTGGCACAATAGGACCAGATACGCCTATTGTGGAAAGAGCCCTGTCATACAGCGACTGTCCAGTAAATTCTGACTTAAACTCCAATGCCACTTATGCATTAAGGGTAAACGGTGGATGTAGCCACTTCCCACTTAACAGGAATGTCTCAGTGACCCAGAGATCAAGGGCTTCTGAGTTCCACCATCCACCCACCAAGCCAGATAACTTTGAGGGCTTTTCTGCTGGGGACGTATATTGCTACCACTGGCTCCAAGTGGACGATAAGCTGTCCGATGTAAATCTGACACCCCAGCCACCCCAAGGGCTCATGGACGCTCACCTTCTTCATCAGATGACAAAGCTGTGTCACCACACTCCTCTTTCACTTCCCTCAAAACCTTCAAATAGCGCTGCTGGGTCCGCCACTCCCGCTCCTCAGGGGTGCGGGATGGGGAAGGGCGCTTCTGCCGGAGGGGAAGGGCTGGGCCACTCCTTCGGGCCATCTCCAGCAGATCCTAGAAGAGATTGGATGTGTCACCCACTATTGTCCAAATCTTGTTCCAGAAAAATGTATGCTAAGTCTACATTTTTTCTCTCAGCGCTTAACAAACTCAATTCCCCACCCCTAGATCACAAAGAAAGAAGCACATATATGAATATGGCCAAATGAAAAGGGCCTAGGTTGATTATTTTGGAGCCCTGGCGGCGTAGTGGTTAAGAGCTTGGCTGCTAACCAAAAGGTCAACAGTTTGAATCCACCAGCTGCTCCCTGAAAACCCTATGGGGCAGTTCTTCTCTGTCCTAAAGGGTCGCTATGAGTCAGAATCTACACGACGGCAACAGTTTTTTTTGGTTTTAGGTTGATTATTACATGGTGAAAAATCCCAAATCTGAGTGTTGGACTGCTCCACTAAGAATAAACGTTTATTACACTATACACGTCCAAGTATTTCCATACCAAACGTTAGAATAACACTTAAAGACAAACAACTTTGTCACTAAGCACACTCATACACACCAATTTCAAAGCAACCTCATTTTCTTCATGACCCACTATGTGTCTGAAATCCACGTTTATCTTAGTAAACACTGAAGCTACTCTATTTCATCAATTTTAAGATGCATATTTTTTCCTATACTTTAACATCTGTGAAATCTGGATACACCTTAAAATTGATTATAAGCATCATACGAACTAAGCTATAATTGTGTCATGATTTAAGTGCTGGCATCCTGAACCACTTAAGTCATGAAATCTCTGAGTTCACGGCCCACATTTTATATCCAGTTCTCTACATACTTACACTCCGGGAAGCAAGAATCTGCTTCAACAGCCGATGGAAATACTGCTGCTGAGAGGTGAGGTATCGCTTGTACTGTGACTTGAAGCACAGCTGCCGATATTTGACCACCTCAGGGTTAAAGTGACCATCTTTAAAAAAAGAGGTACATTTATATATAATCAATCAATGAACAGTTAATGGGTACTTAAAATGTGTTAAACTCTGTTGTTGATGGAATACAGGAGCGAAGAAAGATAATTCATGTCCTTGAGAAGCCTACAGTCAAGGGGAAGATGCAGAAAATATGTTAAAAGATAAATAATAGTTCTCTGAAGTACTATAAGGAAATTAACTTCGAACAATTGTAGAGAATGGGAAGAGAGTTAAATCGGGGAAGCAGTCTCTAAAAAAAGATACGGAAAATGAGGTTTGACTAAAGCACCCGTGGTAAAATGTTGTAACTGACAGAGGTAAAGGTTACATGGATGTTTACTGTACTTTCATGTTCCAAGTATTTCCTATGGTGGGAATTTTTTCAAAATGAAAAACTGGGAGGAAAATAAAAGGGAACTAAAAAAATAAAAATGGTGAAAAGTCTGCTCCAGGCAGAGGAAACAGCATGTGCTAATGCCCTGAGGTATGTTCTGGAAATTAAAGAAAGATCTTTAAGACTAAAGCAGACGTATATATAGAAAATCCCGAAGATGCCACAAGAAAACTTTTAGAGCTAAGAGAGGAATTTAACAAAGTTGCAGGGTACAAGGCCAACAAATAAAAATCAGTTGGGTTTCTGTACACCAGCAATGAGAAATCTGAAAGGGAAATTAGGGAAACAATTCCATTTACAATAGCATCTAAGAGAAAAAAAATACCTACAAATAAATATAACCAAGGACATGAAGGACTTATCTAATGAAAACTATAAAACACCACTGAAAGAGATTAAAGAAGACTTAAGTAAACAGAAAGATGTTCTGTGTTCATGGATTGGAAGTCTTGATATTGCTAAGATGTCAGTATTACCCAAAGCGACCTACAGATTCAACACAATCCTGATCAAAACTCCATCAGCCTTCTTTACAGAAATAGAAAAACCAATCCTCAACTTTATATGGAATGGCAAGAGGCCCCAAATAGCTAAAACGACGTTGAAAGAAAAGAACAGAGTAGGAGGATTCACATTTCCTGATTTTAAAACATACTTTACAGCTAAACCACAATTAAGTCGAACACATGGAAGGATGCTCAGTGTCGAACACATGGAAGGATGCTCAGTGTCGAACACATGGAAGGATGCTCAGTGTCGTTAGCCATCAGAGAGATGCAAATCAAAACCACCATGAGATACCATTTTACTCTCACTAGGATGGCTAAGGGCTCAAACATAACGACAAAAGTGAGGATGGCGCACAACGGGGCAGTATTTCACTCTACTATGAGTTGGAACGGACTCAATGGCACCTAACAACAACAAGATGGCTAAGGTAAAAAAAAAGAAAAGAAAAAATGTTGATGAGGATGTGGGGAAACTGGAACCCATATCCACAGCCGATGGGAATCCAAAATGGTACAGTCGTTGTGGAAAACAGTGTGGCAGTTCCTCAAAAGCACAAACAGAACTGCCATATGACCCAGCAATTCTACTCCTACGTCTATACCCAAAAGACTTGAAGGCAGAGATTCAAAAAGAGATTTGTACACTAACGTTCATTATAGCACTATTCGCAGCAGCCGAAAAGATGGAAACCACCTAAATGCCCATCAATAAACGAACGGATAAACAAAATGTGGTACATACATACAACGTACTACTACTCAGCCAGTAAGAGAAATGAAGTCTTGATACATACTACAGTATGGATGGACCCTGAAGACACTATGCTGAGTGAAATAAGCCAATCACAAGAAGACCTCACTTATATAAAAAGACAAAAAAGGCAAACGTACAGAGGCCAAACTTTATTAGGGATTACCAGGGGAGGGAAGGAGGGAGGGAAAAAGGGGAGTTAGCGGTGATAGAAAAATCGCATCGACTAAGGCTAGGGTTGCACAGCTGACGAGTGTAATTGCTGTCAATAAGTTGTACACCTGTAAAAAGTTGAACTGGCAAAAGTTGTGTGGTAATTTACAACAACCAAAAAAAAAAAGAGTAGCTGCTGAGGCTGCTTATGTACAACCAAACACCTCATGGGATTTGGTTCCTCGGTTTGGAGGTTTAGGGTCATAGTTTTATGGAACATCCATCCCAGCAAATTGGCCTAATAATGTGTTTAGCGCTTCTGTTCTACCTCCTAGTTCATTGCGTAGTTCCTGGGATCTTAAAAGCCTGTAAGTGGCCAAGGCACAATTGGTCTCTATTCACCTGAAGCAACAGAGGAAGAATAGTCAGGAATAGGAGGATATGGAAATGTGTGTGGCTAATTGCCTCCAAGAACAAATGCCTCCTTTGCCAAGAGACCGGAAGAACTGGATGGTTCCCAGTTACAATTACTGAACTTTTTTTTTAAACTGTACTTTAGATGAAGGTTTACAAAACAAACTAGCATCTCATTAAACCATTAGTACACATACTGTCTTGTGACATTGGTTACCAACCCCACGCACGACATGTCAACACTCTCTTTTCTTGACTTTGGGTTCCCTACTACCACCAGCTTTCCTGTCCCCTCCTGCCTTCTAATCCTCGCCCATGAGATGGTGTGCGCCTTTAATCTCATTTTGTTTTATGAGCCTGTCTAATCTTTGGCTGAAGAGTGAACCTCAGGAATGACTTCATTACTGAGCTAAAAGGGTGATGGGGGTTACTGAACATTTTGATCTAAGCTTCCTGAGCATAAGGGGGAAAATGCAAAGAGAATTTAAAATATCGTGGAATCCAGACTTCCAGGAGTCACAGAGGGTGGATGAACCCCTGAAACTAGTGCCCTGAGATAAACTTTAAGCCAAAAATATCCCCTGAAGTCTTCCTAAAACCAAACAGTTTAGCTTAACTAGTAAAAAAAAGGTCTGCTTTGAGCATTATGCCCTTTTAAGAACTATCTATACGGGATCAAATTGACAACAGCAGGTATGCTATGATGAAAACTGAGGGGGAAAGATTGAGAAGCTAAGCTCAGAAAGCTAGAATAAGGGACAAAAGCACAAGATAGTCCCTTTTTTTCCCCCTTCCTAAAAACCAAAACAAACCCACTGCCATGGAGTCAATTCCAACTCATAGCAACCCTAAGGGACAAAGGTGAATCACCCCATGGGGTCTCCAAAGCTGTATATCTTTACAGAAGCAGACTGCCACATCCTTCTCCCATGGGGCAGCCAGTGGGTTTGAACTGCTGACCTTTCAGTTAGCAGTCAAACAGTTTAACCACTGTGCCATCAGGGCTAATATCCAAGATAACTAGTAACAGCAAACACAACCGTATGTGGCACACAACTGCTTGCATATATTAACTCAAATATTCTTCACAACAGCTCCATGAAAACGGTACTATTAGTTCCTCTTTTTACACATAAAGAAAGTGAAGCATAGACAAGTTAAATAACTTGTCCAAAGTCACACAGGTAATAAAAGAGTGGAACCAGCTTGGAACCCAGGTACTCCAGCTCCAGAGTCCAAGCTCTTAGCCACCATGTTAACTGCTTGCTGCATGGAAACAGGAAATTTGACCTTCAAGAAAAGAGCCAAGAGTTTAATCCTACTGACCCTGTTTTATATATAGAAATTGGACAAATAGCTTCTTTGCCTCTGTATTACTTTGTCTTTAGTTTCCCCTTCTTCTTCCCAGCCATGAAATGCTATGCTGTGCTGCTGTTAGCTGCCACTGAGTCGATTTCAACGCATGACGACCCCATGTGTACAGAGCAGAACTACTGTACCACTGCTGAAATGATTACATTTTAGATATAGCGGACTAAGGAAAATATATTATTAAAATTAATTTTACTTGTTTTTACTTTTCTTAATTAGGCTACTAGGAAATGAAAACACGTGGCTTATGTAATATTTCTACTGACCAACACTGGGCGAGAGTACAATAGAAAAAGGGGAAAAGCGGCATCAGTTTGTCTTATTTAGTGCTGCTATAAAAGAACTACCACAAGCAGGTAGCTTTATGAGCCTCACAGTTTAGGAGGTCGGAAGTTCAAATTCAGGGCATCAGCTCTAGGAGTAGGCCTTCTCTCTCTGTCGGCTGGAGAGGAAGGTCCTTGTCTCTTCTGAGCTTCTGCTCCTGGGCGATGTGGCTTGGCATGTCTCTTCCCCATCTCTGCTCTGCTCACTTGTTTAATCTCTTTTCTATCTCAGAAGAGACTAACTCAAGATACACCCTCCACTAATCCTGCCTCATTAACATAATAATGACAACCCACTCCCAAATGGGATTATAACCACAAGCATAGACGTTAGGATTTACAACACATATTCTGGGGGACATAATTCAATCTATAACACAGGTGAAGCTGGGCAGGGGTCAGATTACGTAGAGCCTTGCAGGATCTGGCGAACAGACCAGATTTTACTCTAAATTAAGATAAATGGTAAACAACTGAAGCTTTAAGATCATTCTGGTAGCTGGGAGGAGGTTTGTGGTTTAAGCAACCCAGGCAAGAGTCATCAGTGAAGAGATGGTAAGTTACAAAGAAGGAAAATGGAACTGAAAGAATAGTAATACAAAGAGGAACAATCAATGAAAGAGGGTTTAGCAAAGAAAGGAAGGCACAAATTAAACACGAGGAAACCCAGGACAAAGGAATCACGATGCAAAGGGAATAAAGTTTCAAGATGAAGAAAGTGGTCCTTGTATGAAATGTTACAGGATAATCAAGAAGAGAGATGAAGAGTAGCTGCTGACTTGGAAATTATATTCACTAAGGACACTTAGGCCAGAAAGAAAAACTGCTTGTTTTAACAACTGGTGAAATTTGAATATGGACTGTGTATTAGGTAACAGTATAAGCAAAGTCAAATGTACTGCCGTCGAGTCAATTCTAACTCACTGCGACCCTATACTGTCGCACAGTTTCCAAGGCTGTAAATCTTTACTGAAGCAGAGGGCCGCATCCTCCTCCAGTGGAGCAGCTGGTGGGTTCGAACCACGTCTTTCGGTTAGCAGCCAAGCACTTGAACCACTGTGCCACCAAGGCTCCCTAGGTA